TAGAGTAAATTGTGAAAGTTGATGTTAGTGATTATAAATAGTAAAGTGCAGTATAATTGAATTGTGAATTACTGAGAAAATAAAGGACATTAGATAGAATCTTTATAACGAAAGAAACTGCAAATTAAGTTGGCGAGTTTTTATTTAACAATCCAGAGATCGTACCCGAAGGATCTAGAAAATAATCGAGGTTGATTTAGTAAAATCGTAACAATATAAAGCTTTAATTAATTTAAAGATGGAGGTTTTTATTGAACATACTCGAAAACGATGATTCGATACATACGCTCTAAGCCATGGTTTAGTTATTGGCCCTATCTATTTCGCAATGCATTTTTGCTACAATTCTGTAACGATTTGCGATACAAAATCCCCAATGAAAAGATGAAAGCCCTTCGAATTCGAAAACAAGTCAGTAAATAAAAGTTCAAACAATTTGTTGTGCAGCTTCTTTATTGTAAACTCTTAGGGCGTTTTCACCATCTCCGGCTAAGAACTTAATCGTACCTAAATCGAAAGATAGCATAAAATTCGTTTTCACAAAGTCCGGTTAAGGCGCTTCTGTCAATTCATCAGGAATTCTTTTTACTTTGTTTTACTGGTTTGGCGGAATAAAACTGGCGACTGCGAGTCGGGTGATAAAAAGGGTCAATTGCTCGTTCAATCATTCATCACAATATCGAAAAAAGCATGCAACGCTATTGCAAGATCTGGTCAGAGATACCGTTGCTCGGGTGGGTTATTTGTATAAAAAAAAAAATAAATTTATTTATAACTATTATTGTTTTTTTCAGGCTATAACCTTATATATTTGATACATATAATCTGTACATATATTTTAAAATCATCAAAGTGTTTTTGCAAATAAAAAATATATCAATTTAAATTTATTTATTATAATTTTATTTACATTTCTTATGCGAAAAATAATTAAAAAAAAAAACAGAAAACCAAATTGTAGGGAAAAATGTAAACAAATACGAAATTTCGTGTAGTTTTAAGGCATTTACAATGCGAATTTTGTGAACTTAACTTATAATATATACAATGATCAAACTATCCAGAAGTCAAGTAACCAGAAGTTGGTGAAAATGAAAATGTCACATCAGCCTATCTGACGGTTAGTTATCCTCTTGTTAAATGTTAAGTTAATCGGAGATTGTGGAGTTAGTGTGATAAATTTTATGCTTATAATAAGGTCACGGTTTATTGTCCTGAGAGCATACAGTTTACGACGATGTTGTCATTACCGCCTTATACTCTAAAGTTATCCCTATGCAGTGTTGGCTGCCGCTCTTACTTACCTAATGATCTTTTGTCTGAATCCCTTGAAAGTTCTGTTTTTGATGCTTTAATTATCGGTCTCTCCTTCTCCCCTCATATTCTGCTTGAAATTTTCGTAAAAATCCTTTTCCAATGTTTTTGTTGTGTTTGTGGAACGGATCTGCTGGTATAAATGTGTGTTGAATGGCAACCCTTAGTTTTTCTTTTGTTTTGCTACTGAGAACAATTTTTTTTGTTTTCCAATTGACTTTTAAGCTGTCAAGTAAAACGGAATCGCCAAAAATTCTTCCGTAATAGAAAAGTTTATAGGTACGCAAAAATATTTCATTCTCGTTTTGTGAAGTGTTAAAATTTTCAATCAAATTTCAGTTGAAATTGTGTGTAATCGTCCTCACTGTTTAAGGGTTATATGAAATAACTTGTAAATGAGAAGGTGCAGGGATATAAATATAAAATAATTCATACCGCTTTCGGTTGGGTGGAGTGGATTTTAGAAAAATTGCTACCTTTGGATATCTTCTCTCTATCAATGCATAATAGATAAAAGTTTCATTGTGGATCATTTATAAAAAGGTCTAAAATTAAAGTAATGCATTTCCAGATAGAAGCAGAAACCAGTATGTGTCACATTTTTAGACGATGACGATGGATTTTAACCTACTCATACTCATTCTCTTAAATAACTTTGTGCGAATTTTGTGTATTTTAAACATTTGCGACATGTAGTTTATTTTCATAACGCATTTGACTACAACTTGATGTACATTATCATTTATAACAACAATTTGTATACAAACTATTTCGCTCAACAAAAATATACTCCCCTTCCTAAGAAACGCAGCGGAGTATAGAGATAACCTATTAGACTTAATCAAATTTGCAATTGATTTAACTTTTGTTTTTGCTTATTTTTAGCTCTCGTGAATGCATTGCCTTCTTGAATTTGTCGCAAACTAATAGCGAATACATAATAAGAGTAAACAAGTAAATTTACTCACACACCAGCGATAATTGAACGACGCATCAAAGTTTAATCATAAAGACCTCATCGAAAGAACAAGACTATCAAACCCAGTATAATGCAGGACTCGCCTGATGCAAAGAAGCCTTGCAAGGGCATACTAAAGAATTCCAGTAGTTTCGACAAGCCCGGCTCCGCCAGGTAAATGTATTGACAAGGTCAATGTCAAATAAAATAATCTAATTAATTTGTAAAATAAGTGTATGTGGCTATGATTGTAAGCATGTTTTAATTGTTCTTGTTGACAGTTATCGCAAAAGTGCGAAATTTGATGAATTGAATGTACTACAAACCTACCACCCACATGACAAAGATTATGGTCATATGAAAATTGATGAGCCAAAAACGCCATACAACTACGTTATTCCAGATTTGGCGCATACCGATGCTTTGGACGCGAATTTACTCGCCGAAAAGTAATACAAATTTTGCATATGTGAAAAATGTTAAATGCTAAATATATAACGCTTACAGATTACGCATCGCAGCGAGTACTCAGTCGCCTGCATTTGGCTCAGACGACATTTCTGACGAAGAAAACATTGATGAAACACCGGAAGAGAAAGGTATGCGAATTAAAATATTCTACGATGTTATTAAATATCTTTTCTTGCAGTTCGTCGCCTTGAGTTTGAACGTCGCCGAAAGGCTCATTACAATGAATTCGAAGCAGTTAGACTCGCGCGTAAATTGATTGAGGAAGAGTTGGGAGAAGACGATGATGAACATGATATATCTTCCATTGGTGAAGACGTTAAATCCGGAATTTCTACCCAGAAATCTATTGGAGAAGAGATAGAAATACCAAGCGAACATGCAGGAGAAGAAACATTAGCAGAAGGTGTGGCAGTAGAAGAATCAGTTAGGACTGAGCGGGATACAGAACTAGAGTCTTCCGATTCAAACAGAGGATCCTCAATCAATATGGATGTGGATGCACAATTACAACCCTCGCATCCCTGTTATGGAAGGGATTAGTATAATATAAATAACTAAAATCATACTCAAAGCGTTAGTATATATGTATGTACACATTGCAGCAGTAAAGCAATTACAAGCATAATTTAACATATAAATCAACGACTAAAACGTACCGTGATCGATCTTAACATGAAATCAAATCTTGACAACTATACATATATTTACATGCATACTTATTTGAAGCAAAGATGAAAATGAAAATAAGTAAATCAATATTGTATTAATCAAAGCATTGCTTTATGATTTGCGTAAAATAAAATGAATCAATAAAATTGCTTAAATTAAAGAAACTAATAATAATAATTATATTTATAATAAAACAACTCTCATTTATTTATGTACATAACATACTAAAAAAAAGCATATGAAATTGCAAATACGATGTTTTTCGAATAAAGGTTGGAAAAAAGTGAGAATAAAATATGACATTAAAACTATATAGGCGTATACAAACATTGTATCTATAGGGAAGCTAATGTCTATGGAGATTTTAGTTTGTTATGCTATATGATTATTTTGAACGGAACCACTTGAGAACATAACTTTTTATATTACTTTACTAATTGTTATGCCAACTAATTTTTGCTCGAAAAGTAATAAACAAATTATTTTAAACATCTGAATATAAAAAGAAAGCATAACCATTACATATTGAATTTTTCAAGCTATGTATATGAAAAATACCCATATGGTTATATTGCAACAAAAATTTAAAAAATAAAATCAAAATTAAGCCAAACGAATGTAGAAATACGCTAAAAATGTATGTGAGTCTCCACTTTATTAAACAAAAAAATAATTAAAGAAAAAAGTAATGTGGTTATATGCATACATAAGTATGTACATTCATTAGCAAACATTCGCCAAATTAATAAGAATAAAATTCAAGGCAATATTAATAATAGAAATTAACTTAAATTGAACTAGAGGACAACAAATATTGATATTGTTGATTTTAAATTTTATTATTTCTGTGCTGTATATTAATATACTAAAAATATAAATTAAGTGCCACATAATGCATTTCTCAATGGGGACTTTGAATTCGGCCAATATTTTGTGTTGTTATATGTATATGATTTACATATATATGTTTAAACGTATGCACATATGCATAACGATGAGTTTTCCGAAACAAATTATTATTTTATTTAATATAAATTTAGCTACAAAAGATGCTCTAAAAAGTGCTAATTGCCAACATTTATGAAAACATAATTTTAAGTTCCGAGCCAATCGCATTAAATGCAGCGATCGTTAATTACACACACACATACCTACATATATAGATCAATTCATAACTTTCAGCTCACATCAATTGGAGACATTGTTGAAAGGCATTTGGGTATATGTGTTTCCATGTTATATACAAATAAACCAGATATATATGTATGTGCATTCAGTTTATGAAAAAACTTTAGCCCGTAAGATTAAACAATCTAACATTTACTATTTGGAGTTTATAATATTTTTACTGTTAAGTTAAATGGATTTTGCTTCGCCGTTGTGGAATTGTGTTCAAGAAGTTAAAACTGGTGATTAAAAAGAAAATAATTCAGAAAAAAGAATTTCCTCAAAATTATTTGCATGAACAAGTCACAATTTTAGGTCGATTCCAGACCACACATTCTTTTGGAGGCGAACTGAAGAGAACTCCGGGTGACAACTCACATTCCATCCATTTAAGAAAATTATATGAAATCTCTTTTTTCTATTCCTGGCGGCCGCGATAGACGAGCGGTTAGCATTGCGTACTGCCATTGCCCATCCTTGGCAGGGAATGTCAACCCCTCCGAGTGTTTTTCTGATATGAAATAAAGCTTTTTACAAAAAAAAAAAACATCAGCCGTTCGGATGCGGCTTAGTATAAACTGTAGGCCCTTCTAATTGTTGGAAAAAGCATCAAAATTCATATCGAAAATTGGACGATGAGCTCGGCCGAAAATCGCTTCCGTGGTTAAAAAGTACACATTATATATATCTTGCCAACGATTAATTCTAATGTGTTGAAATTATCACCAACCAATATTCATTCCAATGCAGTTCTGCTTCTAGATAGGCCAATTCAGTTAAGGGTATACATATATTAAATTCCACTGGAAATTTTTTCCGAGATGTGCGGAATCTAGGACACTAAATGAGAAGGACTTCCGTCAGCTTGTGCGTTCACTAGAGCCTTTTTGCTGCATCTGCTCACCTGAAGTCCAGCTGCGAGCAGGCATCAGATATGAGGCCAATGTCACGCTATGTAGATATGTTCTGAATTTACATTTCATCGCTTAACGAGGTTAAAAGTCGGAATTTCGTTGCTTTGCTAGGATTCGCTTTGAGTTCGGTCATTCATTCCGGTGGATGAGCGTATAGTCACAACTCGCATTAAGGCGAAGTTCTTCCAGATATCCCTGCTTTTCGCTAATGACCAAGTCCCACAATACCTTCCCAAGAGCGCCTGGAACTTACTTATGAGTGCGGTCTTCTGAAGATGTACTCGGTTTAGCGAAATTATTGAGGCTTTCATATGTCTCAGGTCAATGGTAGTCTCAGATAATCGTATCTATATTTTTAGAAAAGAACAGGCTGCATTACGAGATATCTGGAGTGTGTAACAGTAAAATTAATAACCATAGAGAATTACCGCAGATCATTTAACGCAATGTCTAAGCAGTTCTCTCTGAAAATTTTATGGGTACCTGGACACAGTTACATACCGGGTAATGAGCTGGCGGACGAGTTTGCAAGGAAGGGCACTTCCTTTAAAGAAGTGTTTGGGCATGCCGCTCGCCACTTATGAATTCAATATAAGAGAGAGTTATATGCTAAGGATGCGACTTTGAGTTGGGAAAGTCTCAATGCATTTAATGTGGCCAAAACATTATGGCCAGAATGGAAGGGAAGAAGGTCACTCGACCTTATCGAGTTAAAAAGAAAGGATCTATCAGTTCAGTTATAGGTGTTCTTACAGGGCATATTCTATTAGGTATTGGGCTTACCATCTAACGATTTCTGCAAAAGTTGCAGTAAAGAAGTAGAACCTGATATCTTAAGGCAATTTCTGTGTGAATACCCCGATCTAGGAGCGGCTACCTTTGGCGTCCTGAGCGAGATGGCGTGGGCCAAGATACGGTGACTGGCTCGATTAGCGGTTGGGGGTCATTACCCTAGGTGAGCTGATGCCCGGTAACCGGCAACCACTCCAACCAACAAACCGACCAGCTTCAGAGCGGGTAGATCCACCATAGACTTGATATTCACCATAAATAATAATATCTTGGAGAAGACCGTTGACAAAATAAGCGTGTAAATTTAAAGTTGTCTTCAAGAGTACAAAAGAATGCTGCACCTCCGATGATACTACCAGAAACCCAGACATAAACGTGGTTTCAGACACGGGTGACTTTTTCAACTTAATGCTGGAAAAGATAATACGAATTGGAGAGCTAAATACAAAGCTTTGTAAGTCGCTCATCATGCCCAACCACCTGCTATATAATGCAGAGGTTTTGACGATGGTAACAACCGATGAGTCCGCACCAGGAGTTTGAGTTTTTGAGAGAAAAGTTTTGTAAAAGATTTTTGATGCTCTGTGTGACGGCGAGTATTGTCGTTTCCGGTGCAACGGCGGGCTTAAGGAGATATACGACAAAAAGCGGTTAGTGGGTGTTCTGCAGATAGATGAAATACTTCAGCTTTGAGATTGCGATTTTGAATTCAATGGTGGAGTTAGATGAGAGGGAGAGAACCAGCGCTGAAAAGATCAGTTCGGGAAGGATCTGCGCGCACTTGATTTCTTCAAACGGCTGAAAAAAGAGCGACTGCCATGCATTGGCAATGATTTAATAAAATCTCATGAACTTACGCACAAACAAACTTTCGTCGAAATTATGAAAATAAAACACTTTTTATTTCTCCGGTTGGTCAGAGAGAGATGTACAAATTTACATTTATTCATATAAGTTCATCAATTATTTTAATCTAATGTAACTGTGTACCTTCTTGTTCCATCAACTAATCACATCGTTTAAAATGTACAGTTAATTGGAGAGTCAATCAGTAAGTTTCATTTATTTTGTAAGAGGCAATTTGATGTTGACTATGCTAGTTTCGTAATACATTGAGAATTTTCGAAACTACATTTCCAAAATAAACAATGTTTGTATATAATCATATTAAATTTTTTTTTGGTATTTTTTGATTTTTAGTTTTTTTTTTGTTTTTGTTTTTACATAATTACGAATTTTACAAAGTAATTATCAAATACCAATTCGTTATCAATCATTTATGTACATGTAGTATGTATGTAGGTATTACAAATGGTTTTCAAATTTCGCTTGAATTTTTTTTCTTATTTCCATATTTTTCATATTGAACGATTTGGGGGTGAATTCAAATCATTCGCTATGTGATTTTGATTATAATTTTTATTTTAATTTTATTTCAACATTTTTCAATAATTTTTGTTTTTTTTTTTTTTGTTTTTTGAATCAATTTATGTTTAGATATTTGTCATAGTCTAGTCGTAAGGCCTTTACGGATTGCCGGTTGTTCGTATTCGAGTGCAAATAATATACAAAAAATAAATACATACATAATAGTGAGATGTTATTTATGCAAGTATATATGTATGTATATATTATATGTATAATATCTGCGTATGTGTATCTAAATAGATGATCATAAATGACAAACAGTGTAATTATCACATTGTTGCAATTTTGCATGACCATTGACCTTTGGTCGATTGGCGCGCCCCGCAGACCCATACTGTGGTATCCTCGATGTTTAAAAAAAGTATATAGCCTACGCAGCGTACGCCCACCGGCCGCGGCAGGCCATGCTAATGGCACAAGGTGGCTCTTCCACTGAGGTAATACAGTGATTTTATAAATTCTTTCCGTATATAGGTTTTTTTTTTATATTTCTGTGCTAGATGCCAATGTACAAGTGTACACATAAATGTACATATGTAAGTATATATGTTTAAGTGTTTTCATTTGTATATATATGTATATAACTAAGTTTGCACAAGACCACACAACCTGTTGAAGTGTTGTGTGCCTGTTTTGCTCCTCGCCTTATGTTTTCTTATAAAATAAAATTTTGCTTTTGTTTTGCAATTACGCTTAAGACTATAATTAACAACCCACATATGTGTTTATATGTGGTTGTTGGTGTGGGTTGTTGCTCTTTGATTATCCTTAATTTGTATGCTCTTTTTCTTAACAATAAATGGAGATAACTATTATTTAATATATATATATATATATGTATTAACTATATATTAATAATTATTTTTATTAATTTTTTTTTTTTTGAGTTTTTTCTTTATGCAGTAAATAACTATTAAATGAAATAAAAATTAAAAATGAAACCATATTTGCATTTTATGCATTTAATTTATTAAACAAATTATTCAACAAACTAACTGCAACTTCTTCAGCATATAAAATGAAGCTCTTCACAAAGAAGTTGCTTGTGTGTTTAATTCAATTAAAATTGTATCGTTTTGTCAAAATCGTTATAACCGTTATCAATTAGCCTTAGTTCGCAACAAAAGTCGTTTTTTTTTTAAATTTTTTTTTAGTTATTTTTTTTTTTTAATTTTGGTTTTCAGCTTAAAGTTTTGATATTCTTTTCTGCCCAGTTCTTATTGGCATTTTCAATTTATTTAATTTGAAAACTCATTTCTGCGTTGAATCTTCATGGAACGCATTTGTACGTTCTTCAACCACCGTTATTTTTTTTTCTTGTTTGGTAGGTTTCCAAGTATTTATGTATACAAAACTAATTTACATCGATTGGACGTCGTTTGATTTGATTTGCTTAAAATTAAAATAGTGAATTCGCATTTTGCCTTTATACATACATACATATACGTTTGAGCAATTCAACAAATTCACTAAATTCGTTAAACAAAAAAAAAAATTATATTGAAAAAATTTTAATAACGAAAAAAAAATCTTATATGCCTTGGCATTTGGTTGGTTCACTCCCGTTGCGCAGTTATGTTCAAAGCCACCGTGGCGCGCGTAGTTGTTGTAGGTGTTGTAGTACCGTGTATCATTTTGCAGTTTTTAACGCACCGCGACTTCGTTGATCACAGCCGCACAACAGCAGGCAAACTCGTCGAATTGTTCATCGTTCACACCAAAGCATTTCGTTTATTTCTAAGCGGTTCTCCGCTGCCTACATTCTCCTGCTATTTTTATTTAAACATGTACAGATTTGAGAACAAAATTCGTTAGTTTAAAATTTGACGCTGTTTTTTTTTTGTTTTACTTTTTCAATGCTTTCTATTAATGTATTTAATAAACATAAATTTTTAATAAATAATATTTCACCCATTGTGGGTCTGAGTTTTTTTTTGTTTTTTTTTGTTAGTTCGTGATTAGTTGATGTTTCATTTCGTTAAAATGTACTATTAGTAACATTTTTCGTTAATTTTCTAAGTTTTTGAAAAATATTTGTATTTTTTTTTAACTTTTTTCTGAAATATATATATATATATTTTTAAAAATAATTTTTAAAATTTTTTATTATCACTTGTATTCGGGGTCTAGTTATTCAGTTTGCTGTTGAAATACTTAGGCCAACATGTGTTGTGTGCCTGGTGGTACTTTGTAGCTGGGATAATAGCTGTTCAGCGCATTCTTCGCGAAGAACGTTGTGTAATCCTGCGAATAGGAAATAATATCATTTAAAAAGCGAGGTTTTTATAAGTAAAGGAATTAAAAAATACATTATTGTCAAATGACTTATTAGTGAAAATCGGTTTCTTACACATATTTTTAAAATTTATTGTAGCTACGCGTGCAATGCAGTTTTCTATTTCTCTTAAAAGGATATTGGATTTGCTTAGCCATTTGCTTATGCTTGAGCCATTTTTGTACTCTTCCATATTTTTTTTAATAGTTGAGGTGCAATGAGACGTAACAATAACTGTCGAGGAATGTCAGTGAAAAATTGCCAGTAACGGGATTGAGAGCACAAGATGTCTTACTCTCCCAAAGAAAGAAATTTACTGAGTGTTCATAGAACAGAATTCACATAATATCAGGTGTACAACTTTGCTTCCGGCGTTTTTCGATAGGTGGCTGTACCGACTGGGGCTGGTTGAAATACATAGATGGTAAGGCCTTTCAAGTGAGTGTGGACCGTGCCTAACGAATTGTCATCGCCCTTTCAGTGACAGTTGTTCTTGTTTTCGTATTATTCACGCTCGAAAATGTCCGTTTATGTGCCTAATTCTCGCCATTTGCGGGAAGTTTTACTTTTCTGTTACAATTCGAAAAAAATGCAGCTGAAGGGCATCGAATGCTCTCAGAAACTTACGGTGATGCTGCTCTGAGTGAAAGAACGTGTCGGGAGTGGTTTCAACGTTTTAAAAATGGTGATTTCGATGTCGAAGACAAACATGGTGGTGGAAGAGAAAAAACCTTCAAAGATGAACAACTAGAAGCATTGCTTGATGAAGATTCGTGCCAAACCCAAGAACAGCTTGCCGAATCGTTGGGAGTGAGTCAGCAAGCCATTTCAAAACGTCTCAAGGCCCTGGGCATGATTCAGAAAGAAGGAAACTGGGTGCCGTACGAGTTGAAACCGAGGGACATCGAGCAAAAGTGGTCAAAAAGTACCTGGAAACGCTGAAATGGGAAGTCTTGCCCCACCCGCCGTATTCCCCAGATGTCGCCCCTTCTGACTTCCACCTATTCCGTTCGATGGCACACGGCCTGGCAGATCAACATTTTCAATCCTTCGAAGAATTGGAAAAATGGATTGCTTCATGGATAGCGTCAAAAGAGGACTCCTATTTTCGAGCCGGGATCAGAAAGATGGGAGAAAGTTGTTGCTAGTGAAGGACAATACTTTGAGAAAAAAAACGGCGGAAGCAAAGTTGTACACCTGATAACAGTTGTTTATTTTGGCGGTTCATTTACATAATTTATTTTTTCTGCTTTAAGTATTTTCATAAAATTAGCAATTGAAATGTTATATTAAATCTCTTAAATATATTTAAAAGTTATCATATTTCTACAATGATGCTATTAGCTCCGTGCTTTAGACTTTCAGGTGTGATGACTTCGAAAATTAGTTTGAAATTCTCTATTCGTATAAGCCGGCGACATTATCTCAATATTTTTAAAGAGTTCATTCGATTATGCTCAAATAAAAACTAAGAGAGAGCTTTATTTTTCCTTTTAAACGCCACTAATATTTCATTTTGTGTATCGTTACCGCTGCCGGAAGCTTAATAATGCATTATCGTCACTGTGACCATTGCAACAATCTTGCTACGCAATATTTTGTGGCTCATTTGGTCGACACTGCTTTCTAGTAAATTATAGAAATCCAAAATCAATTTGTGTTGTACTAAAAATAATATTTATTCTAATTCTATGCCTTCAACATTGCTAACTTCTAGTTCATAAATTTGGGTTCGATGGTATGCGGACGATGATTCCGCTCCACTACCATCGTATTCTATTGGTAAATTTTTTTTTAACAAAATCAAATTTGGACTCTTATTTTGGCCGTAATTCATTCATATGAAAGTGATAATTTTTTTTTAGTTTTTTTTTTGACAAAAACTCTTTCATATGATTACAAATCAGCTGTTTTTCAAACCTGCCAGTTTTTACTCGCTGAAATTTTCGCAGCACGAATTTGCAATTTTCTCTTCGAACCAAATGTCAAAGTTGCTCTCTCTCTCTCGATACTAATTTTATAGGGGTATTGGCACAACGAACACGATTCAGTAAGGTTCAGTCAAAGTTATTACTTCCCATCTAGTCGCCGAACGGAGCTAATTATTTCTTTTTAAATACCTTTTGTCGAAGTGACATATATACATACATATTTCGAAATTTAACCTTAAGGCCAGACCACATGGGACATAAAAAAATTGCATAGCAATCTGCAATTGAATGATATTAAATTTGCACCACCCTGTTTCTGGTGGTCACACGTCAAAATGACCGTAAATTGCATGATGGAAATAAAAATTACTACGTCTGGCGGCACCCTAAAGTTTGAAACATAATCATTGCTGAGGGCTACGGGCTACAATTAATTTAAATGCGAAGGTCCAATTAGATGTGTTTATAATTTGACGGGAAGAAGTCTCAAGGTGTTAAAACACACGATTTCGGTGGCCAATTGCGATCACCTCTTCGAGAGATAGAACCGTCCGAAAACTGTTCCCCTAAAAAATCTTTGGTTTTGTTGTTTGCATGTCACGTTGCAGCGTCTTGCTGAAACTAAACGTTGTCCAGATCAGTGTCATCCAATTCAAGGCATAAAAAACAGAAATCATTTCTCCAATGACTTCGCCGGAAGATAATCCGTCCCAAACTGTTACACGTTGAGGCTGGAGAAGCTTTCCAATAATAAATCTTGTGTTTTTCGAGCCCCAGATGCGACAGTTTTGCTTATTCACGTAGACTTCGTAGGAATTGGGCTTCATCAGTCAAAATGATTTTTCGATGAAATTTCGTATAATTTTCATGCATTTCAAGTATGCAAATAGCAAAGTCACTACGTTGTTGATGTCCGGCCGGCTTTAGTTCTTTTGTCAACGGAACTTTATAAGCTATTATTACAGCTTAAAAAGTGACACCTACCGAAATAGCAGGCTGTTCAAAGTTAGCGCCTCTTGTTGGAAAACCCTTCGAGCCCCCTGTGGGGCGATCTAGAGTGGAAGTGTGCTTTATTGCGAGCTGCAAACACCTTATGCCTGTTTTTCCTACGAAAACCTTTCCACATCAGCTTTTTGATTTGTGCCTTTCTGAAAGCTTATATAGGTTTGGAAATGGATGAAAGTATACTACTAAGCAAAAAAGTGGTTATCCCTATCATATCACCATCAGGCTTAAAAATGTTGAGAAATTAATAAATAATTAAATACAAAACTTAATGAAATAAGTAAAGTTGACCAAGAGGAGGAATTGACGGATATTTTCGATTTGGATGAATAAAATTCTGCGAAGGGAATAAAAAACTAAAAAATCTACAACCTCTGGGCACAAAATTCAAGCTTTCAGTTTATTTAAAAAAAAAAAATTAGAAAACTAAATATTATACTATTAACGATAATTTATTGGACCAAACCAAAGCTGGAAGAAGCCACTTCACTGCTAGCTAGGGCATTCTTAATTCCCGTGACGTATACATATTTGTTAGTTTTCAACTGCTGAGCCGAAATCCTTCTTTGATATTTGCATTTTGTGTTTTTCCAAATAATAAAGGGATCTTCAGTTTATACTAAGCCTCCTCTGAACGGTCGATCCATAATTATGAAGAGGTAACAATTTCATGTCAGAAGTACACTCGGAAGGCTTGACATTCTTGGTTAAGGGGCAAACGCAATTAGAAAAATTAATTTTCGGTAATTTTTAATAATGATGTTCAAAGCAGGGCTCAAACCCTGGCCTTCCGAAGGGAGGTACGCTAAGTTAACCCCTGGGCTCTTGCGGTCGAGGTTTTAATATATGTACATACGCAGGTTATACGGGTACAGTAGTACAGCGCTATCTCTAAGAATACGAATGGATTTCGTAGCCTTTCAGACGAATAGCTAGAGTGAAGGATTGAGGTTTGCATAAAAATATCCGAAAATTTTAAGAGGTAATTTGAAAATGTATGGCGGAGTGGTAGTTGCGTCAAACAAGAAACATGAATTTCATTTAGGATACCAGAGCTAAAGCACAGTACGTACAATAAGACATTGAGTATGGTTGCAATATGTAGGGAAGAAATCGAAAGACTGAAAGATTTCAACCAAAACACTTTAGCATCAAGCAAAGGACTGTAGAATGGCGAAAATGTTGCGTAAAATATATGACGGGAAACTAACTTACTAGGTTCGTGCTAACGAGAAAGAACCCAGGCTTTAATGTACTATTAGGACTGTTAACGAGGCATGCCTGTTGACGTCGTATGCCTTTAATTTAAGAGCAGAAAATGGAGGAAATGTGCGGAAGCAGTGGCGCACGTGATCTGTGAGCACTCGACGTCTGGCATACAGAGACCAACATCACTTGGCGAAGAAAAGCGGCGAAGGCTTTCAACCAACAATGGATTTGTTGTGACGGCTCGGGCGGCCGAAAATGGCTTCAGTGGTTACAAAGCGCCAATTATATGGACCTTGGACATGGTATCGTCTAGATCCAACCAGTTAAACCTAATCTACGTTTTTTTAATTTTTTTTTTTTAGACTTACGCGATTGACTTTCCGTGGACGGCATACCGGTCCCTGGGCCAGTTTGCGGCGTTCTTCATTTTCGCGAACTGCGGCCTCCTTGTACTCCGGTGGTGGCCACTTCAAGTCTCCGCGCATGTTGCTACCTCCTAGAGCGAAAAAAAAGACCAGAAGTGTTTTACAAAAAATGCAGAAAAGTTGAAGAAGACAATTACCTTGAAAACTAACGGCCGCTGGCTGAGCGTTGTAAACAGGTGCAGGCTTCTGTGTGACGGGTGCCTCCTTGCGCAATGTTATGATACCAGGACTGCCGCCGCGATACTCTTGGGGCAATGGTTGTGGTGCTTGTTGTTGTTGTTGCACTGGCAGTGCCCGTTGATCGGGTTGATCCTGACCAATGTGTTGTGGGGGCTGTGAATAAGAATTATATTGGTTTGATTGTGGTACAGAAGAATATTGTTGGGGTTGGAATTGTGGTTGTTGTTGATGATATGGTTGCGATTGATAATTGGATGGTGGTGGTGCCTGATATTGTTGTTGCGAGGAGGGAGGTGCCTGTTGATAAGGCGCTTGCGTCGGCTGATACAATGGCGCTGGTTGATTATGCGCCCAAGATGGTTGTTGCTGCTGCTGCTGCTGCGGCTGATAGTAGGGCTGTTGGCCGTAAGGAGGTTGCGAACCCTGGTGCGGCTGATATTGTTGGGGTTGCGCCTGATATTGATCGTATGATGTTGCACGATACTATTTGTGATTGTTTATCGAATTTTCCATTTCGTTATCGTGAATGTTTTGTGTAAAATTCAAATTAATTCCGATATGTTTTCGTTTATTTGTTTTTTAAGATTAAGTTTGTCGTTTATAAATGTTGCGAGTATGGTTTTTATTGTTGCATGCGTTGGATGGATTGGTGTTTTGTTGGTGCATACAACATAGATAAACACACAAACATTTAAAAAATATTCAGGATCATTTTAAAATTAGACAGAGTGCGTGAGAGAGAACATAATTATTCGTTCATAAATGTTGTTGGGGGATAGAAAGAGAGGAGAAAAAAGACAATTAGAAAAAAATGTGTGTGTATAATGCAAACTTACTACTAAGTTCACTAAGGGTTAACGTACACAGACACAGTGGTTTAGTATTTGGCAGGCAAAAAGGTAGGGTTATGAGTGAATAGAGCGTATGTGTGAGAGCGCGTTATTAATTATCTACGTGTGTATTGAAAGCTGAAAATTATGAGATAAAAAAGAAAAGCAGTTTTAATAATTATTGTTATTTTTATTCTTAGCAATAATGAAATATGTTTCTATATACAGAAGTGTGTGAAGGTACATTAGGATGGTCCAAAATTTTTTTTATTCATTGTACAATATAATAATATTTACATATTCATATATATATGTATATGACCTTGAAAAGAAAAATTATAAAAAAGTTAACTATGAAATAAATAAATTTAGAACTACATAAGTTTTTAAATTTACCAAGTTTTTTTTCGTATTTAGGTGTTAGTAATTGGGAAAAAACTAAAAATTATTAAATAAAAGATATCAATTTTTGAATAAAGACATTGCATCTCTTTTTATAGCTACACTATCTCTGCAATGTAAGATACTAGTTGTTAACTAGAATCCAACTAGTTCACATTTTTCTACCAATTAGTTCATCTTCTATATATTTCTCATGTAAACAACTAGTAATTTTAACACGAGGATATCCTAATATCGATCAATTGTCAGTCTATGCACTAGCTACATACTAGTTAAATACCACTGTTAAAAAATAGTTAAAATATTGGTTCATTGATACTAGTTGAAAATTAATAGATTGATTTTCGGCATTACAAACAGTTGAAACGATTTTTATGAATTTTCTTGTGTGTTTTCTTATCAAGTTTTGAAAAACTAAGAACCAATTTATTTGAAAAACGTAACAATGTTTCACTGTTCTTGAAATACAATACACCTTTCGTGAAAGTATTATTGTAGCGGCAAGTCTCACCAACTGGTATGAAAAATACTAGTTCATATATTACAAAATTCGAGTCTAAGACAAACTGATATATTTTTGTCCATTATATACTAGTATAATTGTGGTTTATAACAAACTAGTATGATTTCGTCTTCAAATTGCTCCTATTTACCTAGAATTTTTTTACAGTGTACTCATTTAAAAAAAGATTTCTAATATAATTATATATTTATATATTTTTTCGATATTATTTGAGACGAGAAAAGCAATATTAATTTTTTAAATTAATTTTTTTTACAATAAAATCTTTTTGGACCACCTTAATGCAGTGCTATGAGCTTTCGTTCATATTTACATATGTGGTTGTTATTAAATTTAATTTTCTATGTTATTTTTATGTATAAATTTTATTTACAGATTTATAAGTACATATGTAATTATGTTTTATTAAATGTAAGTGAGTAAGCTTTAGGTAATGTAAAAGTAAAATCTTAACGATAATAAACTATACTAATGAAATATAAAAAAAATAAAGAAAATATTTTCCTTAGAAGCTCACTGAACTAGCGTTGTGCGATTAAACATAATCGAAAAATATTCAGAAAATTTTTTAACTAATGATAAACTGTATTATTATAATATCTATACATAAATAAAAAGAACTGACTGATTAAAAAAAAAATTATTATAGATTAATTGACACAACGGCACTGTGCACTACTTTAAATAAATGATGATAAATGAAAAAAAAATAAAGCTACTATAAAGCTCTCTTCTAAAAGCTGCATTGAAAACAATTAAAAAATTTATTTTGCTATTATTAGTTATATATTTTCTAAATAAATTTAAGGTGTTTTCGTCTTTCGCTTACTCTCATAAATATATGTATAAAAAAATATAGAAATGAAATAAAAATGAAAATAAAAAAATTGAAGTAAAAAATGCGACGATTGAATGCTTAAAAATCACATGACTTGCGTGTCTAATGCAGTCAAGCCCACAGCGCAAGAGGAAGAGAAGCTGCCGGACAAATACGATTTCTACCGTTAATTACATTTTTTCGCGCATTTACTTAATATTCAGGCAGGCAGGCAGGCACACATGTACACTGGCTGTAGTACCTGTTGGGTCAAATGTTGCTGTTGTTGCTGCTGATGTTGACCGTAGCTAGGATAAAAGGGTTCAACATGTCCGCCACCTACCGGACTTCTTACAAATTCATTATATGCCTTGGGTACTGGTGGCTGTATGGGTCTCCAACCAGATGGGGAGCTAGGCTCATATTGTTGTTGTTGTTGTTGCTGTTGTTCAAAGGGATAATTGGATGATGCAAGAGTTTGTTGAGCCGGTTGTTTTTGTTGTTGTCCATAATGCACACTTACAGATGGCGGCGGACCAGCAGGCTCATGCGAGGGTTGACGATTGAATTGTGCTTGTGTGTATTGTATGGGTTGTTGTGGTGGTTCATAGTGTTGTTGTTGTTGTCGTTGTTGTAACGGGGATTGTTGATACACTTGTTGCTGGGGGTATTGTTGTTGTTGTTGTTGTTCTTGACTATGATAGGCTGGATTATAACTACCAGCACGACTGACGTTATTATAAATGGGACCCTAAAAATATGCAATGCAATTGCAAGTGTGTAAATCAGAAAGTGCACGTATTTGTTGGCAACTTTTTTTAGTCACTGCCAGTTTTTTTTGTTTTTTTTTTTCAAATATTTCTAGCTCAAACAACCTCTTACTAATGTGAAATATTTCGTTATTTACTGATTACCTAAATATTGCTAAGAGCAAAAATATATAATAATAATTATAAAATATTAAAAAAAAAAAATTAAAAATTCTCCGTAATATGCACACACAGTAGCGATTTTTTCTTCATACATACTTATGCCATTCTCATTATTCTGCTGCCAACTTAACATACTTTTCTTTTTTTAAAGCCGGCTTGAGCTATTTTCGTTTTTATATTTTTGTACTATTTTATTATGGAAAAAAATGCCAAGTTTTACATATAATTGCTGTTCAACTTGCGGTAATTGCATCAAATTACACAAAAAACGAGCAACTTTCAACTAATGCTCAACCAAATACACACATATGCATGTATGCAGAAACGAATGAAACGTTTTAACGCTTTGCACAATTAAATTAAAGTTAACAATAGTTTCTGATTTTTACAGACATATCTACATGTCCAGTGTTGTACACGCATGCTTGCCAATTAAATACTTTCAGCAAAAAAGTGCTGACTTTTAGGACTTTCATGTATAATTAGCTCGGCGTTCTAGTGGCTAAGAGAGAGGATTATGTGCGCTTAACTTTCCGTGCAAACTAAAGTGCATAATTGAATTTAAAACAATTTTTTTTTTACGAATTTCTGACTACGTTGAGCACACATATTCCGAAGTTTGTATATATATAAAAATACATACGACTTATATATGTATATAGTAATATATGTAGCAGTGTTTTGTGTTTAAATGTTATAAATAATATTTATTTAAATTAAGATCCAATTGACATTGAGAAAATGATTTTATTTAAGAATTTTTATTTTTAATTACACATACGAGGGGATTAACAAAAGTTCAATTTCTATTTGGTTTTTTTAAATCTAAAAGCACGAAATCCTTGCTTTATTAGCCTTTTTTTCAAATTTTAAAAGGATTGTCTAAAACGAAGACGAAAAAACTCAAGATTGTTGACGATAGGGCAGACGAAATTCCACCACGAATGCAAACAGAAATTCGCCATGTGATTCTCTTCGAATTTCGGCGTATTTTACAGCCTATACAAATATTTGGTGAATCCCGAATTGCATATGGAAACCATTTCTAAGTGGTTCCAAAGATTCCAGACCAGTCATTTTTCTATAGAGGAGGAGCCTTGAGAAGGTCGACTTAAATTTTCCACTGATGACTTCACTGTGGCTCTGGTAAAGTCTAAAATTGACGAAGATCCACGATTGATACACTAAATGATTGCTAATGAATTGAGCTTCACTACCATGAATGTGTCGAGAATATTAAGCAATAATCTAGAACACACGAAAAAATCTGCTCGAGTGCATTCTACTCAATTTTTCCTAAACAAATTCAAAAAAGGTCAGTCTAGTAACTTTAGTAAAGTCATATTGGTGACTAATCTTGGTTCTATAAGTACGATACACACACCAGACAGCAGTACAGGGCATGGAGTCAAATAAGAGCGAACCCACCAATAAAATCAGAGCAACAAAAATCAGCAGCAAAAGCAATGTTTTCAGTTTACTTCACCCGATCTGAAATCATAGTTGCTATTCCACAGGAAAATGGTCAGACGGTAACTGCAAAAAAGTACATCGAAGACTGCTTATCAAAAGTTCTAAAAAAATTTGTTGCAAATTAGAAAGAAAGAGGATGTGCGACGCTACTTTGAACATCATGACAACGCGACATTCCACACTGCTGAAATAATTTTATTGCGATCTCTGGGATCGAAGAAAAGTTAAAAAAAAAATTAAAAGGAGCAACGAGGAGATAGCTAATGCGGTTAATGCTGAGCTTGATAAGCTTAAAAGGCAAGATTTTGAAGGCAGTTTTCAGAAGTGGATCTAAAGTCTTAAGAAATGCATTGAACTCACAAATGGTGATTATGAAGAGCAGATAAAAAACGACAAAGTTTACGAATAAATACAAATTTGTTTTTTCTTGGGTTTTTTTCTGGTCAACTTAGCGAACTTTTGTTAGTCCCCTCTCATATATATATATGTTTTTTTTTAAGAAAAACAGCGCTAATAATTTCAAAGAAATCCTCTACCTTCAGTATTTGTTCTTGTTTACTTTACTTTCCATTAAACTGTTTAATTATTTGTTTTTCTCTCCTCCATAATAACCAATTACAAATTATCAAACTATTTTATCAGCAGCTATTCAAATTATTATTATTATTATTATGTAATGCTCTTTGTGTAAACTAAGAACCAAGAAAGGAAATAATTTTGATTGGCAAAAATCTTCTTATTGTTGTTGTTGTTGTTGTTGTTGTCAATTTTAACTCAATTTATGTTCGCGTGCAACATGACATTCTTTGGGGGAAACGCAATTGAGTTTAACATGCATGTGTGTATATGTGTGTATGCGTGTGTGGTCCTTTGATAATATGAAAACATGAACAATCAAATATTTCTCAGCTTTTTATTTTTAATATCGAATGCAATATAATAATATATTTTGATATATGTATGTATGTACCAAGACTTAGTCTATGTATATGAAAGCAAAAATAAATTACAATAATATTAAAAAAGACAGTATATTTCTTTCCTCTTAAAGTAATCGCCCCGTGTTGCCAGGTTAACTTACCATTCTGAAGAATTTTTCTTCAATATTGGTATACACAAAGTAGAGATAAGTGGAAAAGCCACGGCAAAAATACCGTGACTGCAAATTTCCAAAGAAAACACCGTTGTTTTTTTTATCACCAACTTTATAGTGGAAAATCCCCGCAATACTAACTGTTTGAATATAAGAAATTGGCATTTATTACTTGGACAGAAACACAACGCACTCTAACCTTACTTATAAAGTAAATATGTATGTATGTGTTGCAGTCGTATGTGTATGGTTGCGCCGCTTAGAAGAGATGTGTTGGCTGTTGGCTATAAAAGCCAGAAATTTGCACGTGTGTTTGCGCATTTATGGATATTTGATTTTATGTGACTTTTGTAACATTTTTACGACGTGCAGAGGCATACAAAAGAATAAACGCTTTACATTTTACTTTGCACTTTGTTCGTATTATGCCGCATAGAAGACATTGTGTAAACTTGAAGTGCAAAGTTTTCTACTTACTGACGTTGCAGGACTGGATGTGTGCACAAATATATGTAGATATATAGTTAAAGGAATTTATGTAGGGAGAGCGCAAATAATATATTTTATGTTTTTAGAGAAAAATTATATTGTCCCATGGAAAACGAGATCAATTTCGAAAAATATATATCTTTATTCATAAGATTAAAATTTTTTGTTCGATACAATGTGTGTTGTACGTGCTGTTTAAGATGATGTTGTGGTTTTTTAAAACGAACCATATACACCTATCGTCACCCTTTGAAACGCTTCTATGAGGTTATTTTTGATCTTTAATTGAAAAATATTATTTTATGAGCATGAAAGCTAGCATGGAGCCAGTTTAGGTTAGTAAGGCTAGTACTTGATTATAAAAATATCCAATTTCGTGTATAAAATCAGTTACCGAATTTTTATTGTATTGCGGTCTCACAGGATATGAATTGGCTTTTGCCTAGAGAAAATACTTTCTTAAAGTTCGGTCAGTTAGTAGACAATTTTTGTGAATAATGCCTTCCCATTCGAAAAAACAAAATCTACTTTCATTTATTTGCAACTTCTGTAGACGAATTTATCGGTCTCGGTTAGTCCTCCTGCTTCTGTTTGGAACTTTAAAGTTTAGATCAGCAAAACTCCTCTGTTGTCAACATTTACGCTGTTCGGCAGCAGAAAATTTTGAATAAGAAAAAGAAAGAAAAACTATGATACGCATATTCGTCGGGTATTTTAAAGTGGACTTTGGTAGCACAAAAAGCGAAAAAAATAATATTTTCACAAAACTTAAATAGTTATGTACCAGCTGGCCATGATCAACACCAAAAGTTCCGTACAAATTACTAAGGCCCTCTTCGAACTTTTGTGTAACTTTTTTAATTTAAAACAAGGAAAAATATTAAAAGTTGCAAAACTAAGCTGAGATTGAATATGAAAGCGACTAAGGATAAGGTAAACTGTCTTCTGTTATCAAACATACAAACAGTCACTCTCGACTTGGGGCCCTAAGCTGACAAATGATTTTGTTTATCTGTGAAGCAGCATAAACACCAATATAAATGTCGATTTTGAAATCCAACACTCTAGCTGACTGAGTAGGCGATTAAAAAATATAGTTCTCACTCAACAAATAAAGATCAAACACTACATCATTCCCATCCAGCTGTATGTTGGCTGTGAGGGGTTTCAAGTTATATTGTAGGTTTTTTCGCAGCATCTAAATATACAAAAATTTATGTTTTCTTTTTCTTGAATTTGAGCTGTGTATTTTTTTAAAAGTGTTAGGGACTTTTTTTTCAAAAAAAGCAGATGTGTACTGACCCATGCTTTTATTTGAATTTAAGAAATTATTTTAATTTTTTCTTCAATTTTATGCCCTTAGGGGTTAGATGCAGTCATTTATGACCAAAAATATAGAAACCAATGACAGATTGCAGTATTTTTTCCGCGATGCCGCCTTTTCCTCAAGCAAAAAAAAGTATAGGAGGACAGAATTTTCTTTATAAATTTTGTTTTTTTGTATGATTGACTTTATATGAATTTCCAAGAATTTATGCTCCCCACAGCAATACAAATCTCCTGCTACTGAAGCAATCTTAACAAGCCATAAGTGATAGTACTGTGTTTTATTTATTAAATTTTCTTGCTTCCACATTTTCTTCTAAGCTTCCAAAATGCAAGAAGTTACTGGTAAAAAATATATATATTTAGAATATTATGATGTTTTATGCCTCACCCCTAAACACTTCGAGAATACTTCAAATATTCTTGTTCTATTGTATG